AGTAATTTTTGTCATGAGTTATAATAATAATATATTATTTATACCCCGCCCAAATTTTAATAAAAACTCAGCAAACAAGAAGAAATTTTATAAAAGCAGCTGAATACCAAAAATATTTAATAAAAGTATGATGGGGGGGCTGTTTTCTTTATGTACAAATATACATAGCATTTTTCTTCAAAGTACTGGGAATCAAGAGATAAACCTATTCAAACTTGTAACCAAAGGGGAAAGGGGAAATACTATGTAAAACAGATAAAACATCACTTTTTAATTACATCTCTGAGAAGACGAATCAATCATAATACATTAGAGTTATTTTCTCAGTTTTGCCTTGCTATTCTGACATTTCCCCACTGAAGAAGAAAAAAAATGCCTATAGTAGGAACTTAACATATGTGAGAAAGTTTATTTAATTAGAAACCCACAAAGACACAACCAGGAACTGTTGACATGAGTCAAAACCATACCATTTTGAATATATGCAAATGTTCCAAATAAATATTAGTAAAGTACAAAACAGTTTGGAAATGTCCAAGCACACCCCATACTTGGGATTCATGGCAGCCATGTGTACGCCAAGCTTGTTTATCCTTGTACTGTTTATGCTTGCCTGTCTCTCTACCCCATGGCTCTACAGAAATCACATTTTAGATACTGTGACAGACATTTTCTACCTGATTTGCAAGGTAGGTTTGTGCGTTTCTCTATGTGATTTATCTAAGCTTTGTGCAATTCCTCATGACATTAATATAACATATGTACATAGACTATAACCTATAAAACATACATATGAAGAAAACAACTGCCAGCTGGACTAGGGAAATAAACTAATGCCAACAAAACTTTTTTAGCTGGAGTGGGTGGGGAGATGGGTTTCCTGATACAGAATGGTAGTTGCTGTATCAATGCAGATCTGTTATTACTAGGCTGCAGAGAAACTAACATGTGGATGGCCAGATACTAAAGTGGGCCAAGTGCTCTGATGCAACAACACAGTACATATTTGTACAATAGTATAGACAATCCATGAAGAGCCACTCCTAAGCTACTTATTACCTTATCTTAATAAATTCCACCAATGAATTCCTTTATTAGAATGAAGTCACATGTACACACCATTAACAAATTATTATACATTAAATGCCTGTTCCTAGTTCCAGGTAGTAACGGAAGCATTGGTACAACTTCTCTACTAATGAAGGTAACAAAGGTGATTTAGAATATGCCAACCACTCTACAAAGTATTAAGAACATAAGTATTAACACCTGACTACCCTGGAAAATCATCATATCATATCTGACTCTGGTTTATATATTTTATCATAAATAAATATCACTTGATGTTTTTCAATGATTGGTATTATTTTATAATGAATTTTAAGTGGCATAATGTTGGCTCTATCAAAATTAATTATTCATTTTGAATTATCATAATATGTATTACACTGCTTATTGTAATGAGGTATTGATAGGTAGTTTTACGGTTGCATTGCAAGCCACATTTTTGGGATTCATTTATGTGGGAAACTGGCATACAAACTGAACTAATAAGAATGGTGTTAGTACTGGGCTCCAGTGCTAGTCATTAATTCTTGCAGGCAGAATTCAGGTTTTTATTTTGTCCTTCTATACCTTAAATTACTCTCAGTCCAGTGCTCTAGCAAGGGCATCTATAGGAACTTTCTCAGCAACTGTCCTACAGCCATAGAACTTCTCTTCGAGACTAACAAAAGCCTAAGGATCCTAAATTATTTTCACATAGCACACTAAAAGGTGTACTTGAGGTTTTCAAGTATTATTTCTTCCACAGGAGACAAAGAACAACCATTTAAGCTTCTTGTATGAAAGTCAAATACAAATCACTTTAGGCAGTAATCCATGTTGGTTTTTAATGTGTGTTTGCAATTGGTTTAAAGGGATAAAATGAGAATTCCCCAGATGCCTAGATGCAAGATTGGGGTAAATACTCTCTTGGTGAAAGAGCTCCAGCAGATACTGAAAATGACAAAACATGCAGCAAAGCAAAGCAGTAAGCTCCACTGAATTCAATAAAGCTTGCTTCCCAGTAGACATGTTGAGGATTGTGCTGTTAGAATGTTTTTGACACATGACCAAAGTCTCAGAATATTTTTACATACTACAAGGCCTCTTGGTGAACTATTTTACATACACAATAAACACTTAATACAAATTTTAAAAATTGAACATTTTAACCAGTGTTGTATTTTGCATTTGTGTTACAATTACAAAAACTACCAAGGCTCACATGTGAAAATATCCTTAAACCAGTAGGGGGTAGAGTTTTGTCTGCTCTGGCCTGTCTTTCACAAATGCTGTCATTCACTTTATGTCAAGTAGACAGATGGGACAGAAATCTATATAAATATGCTTTAAAGATCTCAGCAACATTAGCAAGCAAATCCTTGGCAGAATTTCCTATCAACATTCCCATCATGTTTAATATACAGCCTAAAAGTATTTGTTTTCAAGAACACACAAACATTTTATCATACAAAAGGAGACACTTGATGGGGGTGCATTATTCTGGTCAGAATTATTGAGAGGCTCCATCAGATATGGATAACTAAAGACAATAACTATTCACTGTACATCAGAAACACATAAATAACATGCTGTGTAAGGGGGGAAATGCCAACTAGATGGTTCTGATGAGTTCCTTGCTTCTGCAAAGAAACCATGAAGAATGGACAGTTTCTGCCACCTCCAAGGCATCACCTAGTGATGATCAGATCCTAACAGATAAATGGTATTCTTAAATTAATTTTGATCCTATTTTATATTATTTTGATTGATCTACAGTATGTTACTTTTATTGTGTATTTCTTTTGTAATATGTGTTAATGTTGTTCACCACTTTGGGGTGCTTTGGGCCCCAAAAGCATTGCAGAATTGATCACCAGGAAAATGAAATCTATCTGAGGAGCTCATGTGTACAGAATAGATGCTACTGTATTAGTTGAACTTACAATGTGTCACCACACAACCCTTCATTCTTTAAAGCACACATTCTCCTCTTTCAGATTGTTTCAACACTGGGAGGCCAGCTGCTTCAAAAACCACAGTCCCTTAATAGATGCTGTAATTTTCCAGCTGGCCAAACTCGACCCCCAGAAATGCAAGTCAGAAGCAAGCAAGATCGATCTCCTAACACCTTATTTTGCAAGGCACAGACAGCAAAGACAGACTCTTCATTTCCGTGTGGAATGTAAGCCGACCCCCGGGGCCTTGGGGAGGACATACGACCCCTCCACGGGTGTTGTTGGGCCGAAGAATAGTTGGTCACAGCAACGAGAGCCGCAAACTGCATTCTATCTCTTCCCTCGATCTCTCTCTCTCGGTGACCTTGGACAAGCATCCACCCAGAGCGAGTCCAGGAGAGCAGCTGCAACGGTATCGCATCCCCGAAGGACAGGAGAGATGGATCCACAGAGCAAGGACAGGGCATCTTCGCGTTGCAAGCTCAGCCCAGAGGAGGGATGAGAGGGGGGCGTAAGCCACACAAATCACACCAACATCAGGCACTCGCCCGCCTAAACCCATCTATACGCACATAACACACACATACTGTGTTTTCGGGGGGGGGTTGTGTGTATGTGTATGTATACACACACACACACACACTGTACACACATTACAGTGGTACCTCGGGTTAAGTACTTAATTCGTTTTGGAGGTCCGTTCTTAACCTGAAACTGTTCTTAGCCTGAAGCACCACTTTAGCTAATGGGGCCTCCTGCTGCTGCTGCCGCCGGAGCACGTTTTCTGTTCTCATCCTGAAGCAAAGTTCTTAACCCGAGGTAATATTTCTGGGTTAGCGGAGTCTGTAACCAGAAGCGTCTGTAACCTGAAGCGTATGTAACCCGAGGTACACACACATACACTGCTCCAGTACCTGCCCTCCTAAACCCATTTATACGCACATAAACACACACACACACGCACAGTACCTGCTGCATCCCGCTAATGCCCTAAGCTTTATCCCTTTATCCCTCCCTGCCCCCCCCGGCAGCTCCCCTCCCCCCTCCCCATGCGGCTGCGCCTCACCCAGCGCCTGCCAATACTTCTCTCCCCCCCCCCCCACCTTTTCTGCGTCAGCCGTCGGCACCCCCTGCCCGAACGCCTTTCAGTTCCGAGCCCCCCAGTCGTGCTTGCTGCCCTCCAACACCCGCGCACTCCTCCGTCCTCCCCTCCCGGCCCACGCGAGCTCCGCGCGCCCACCTGCTCTCCACCGAGCAGCCCCTCAGCCCAGGCGCCACTGGCTGCGTATCCCGCCGCCGCCGCCTCAGCCGGCAGGTCCGGTTCTCTCTCCGCCGCCACCCCGACGCAAGCGAGCGCGCCTCCTCTGCCTTCCCCACAAACCCTCGCCGCCTCTCAGCCCCGCATATGTCACAGACAGGAGGCCGGGCGGCGCCCCATTATCCGCTTCCCAGCCGTTAGCGCGAGGCCTGCTCGCCTTTACCTGTCAGACGAGGCCGCCTCCTCTTCGCGCACCGCGCAGCTCAGCTCAGCCCCAGCCTTAAAGCCGCCTGGCTCCAGTTCCGCATCAACAGCCCGGGGAGGAGCGAACCAACAAGCCGGAGGAGGGCGGGGAGCGGGAGGTGGGAGAGCCAAACCATTCAGCCGCTCGCAGGGGGAGGGCGGGGCGGAACGCAACCAGGGAAAGCGGCGCGAGAACCGAAAGCGGCGGGAAGAGGCGCTGCGGAGTCGCTCGCTGCTGAGGGCCTTGAGAGCGCCGTGGCCCCCGGCCGGGCCCTGCAGGAGGGGGTCGAAAAGCGGGCCGGAGCCGCGTTAAGCGACAAACTCCCCCCCCACGCCACTGTGTGGGACAAGGGACTGTTGAAAGAGGCGTTATAATGAGCACGAGCAGGGCAACCAAAGAACCATTTCAATCCAAAGGAGATGCCACATGTTCTCCTCCCCACAAAAAGCAAAAACCCGCTACCCAAAGATGCGCACATTTAACAACGGTCGTTTACTAACAGTGAACATTATGTATTAGTTTTAATTTTTTGCATAAACATTAGCATTTTGCAAACAGTCAAAAATACAGAATTAAACGTAAAGGATATTGCAACAGCAAAGTTATATATATAAAAAACAGATTTTTCAAATTGTTACAAGTGCTTTATAGAGTGAGTGAAGGCCAGTGGAAAGAGACCAACCTCAAGTGCAAAACAGACACAAGGCCGACACCGTAGGCATGGCACTTGCTACAGTCAACAATCACATTGGTTCATGGGCCCAGGCTCTTAGGATGGTTGCAGGGCAAGCAATTTAAATCCCAACAAAGGAAGCACATACTACTGCAATGCCAGGGAATCGCAGATTTAATTACCGGTATCAATTTGTTTCTTCTAGCAAACAGAAGGATGGGTGTTTTTCTTCAAGTAAGTTAATCCTCTATGCAAACTTAGGTATGCTTAAGCACATTGATTGGGTGTGCCTAACTCTGCATAGGACCAGGCTGAAAACATTCAACTACCATATTTATAATGGTAGATAAAAGCTTGACATGTTCAAAGACGAGAAGGAAGGATTATAAACATACACCTCAAAATAGATTTAGGCCCCTTGCTTTTCTCAGCGTAAACTTGGATCACACATGCAAACTGATATTTTTCTTTCTGAAGATAGGGCAGCAGAGGAAAAGATTGTTTTGTAAGACAAATTTGGAGTGAAGAACCAGGTTGGAGGGGAGAAAGTTCTTAACTCTTTGCATAGCTGCCATTTTTTGCTGCAACAGTTCTCCAGTTGCTTTTCTTTCCACATGGGGTCCAGAGACATATTTTACCCTTATAAACATTATGTCTGGAACTCTATAGAGGAAATGGCTGGTAGGGAGGGGAGTTGCAGCTGAAAATCAGTGGGAAGGATAAGGGTTAAGCACCACCAATTCTGTTCCAAATTGCCTGTTTCAAAGTGTCTCTTCTCTTACTAAAATAGACATCAGTACCCACATTACACAGATACCCAAGTAATGTTTGATACTATTACAACATACATACACACCCACTGTAAGCTCATACAGATATCTCAAAATACAAGGACAGGGAACATTCTTGATCCCTGGAGTCCAGGCATAGAGACACCTTCCCACGCAGATCTTTCCTGTCCACATGACTGAAGGAGTAGTACAATACATGACAGAACATACAGCTGGCATCCTGAGCTAACCACACAAATCTCTTGGATTTCTGTCCTTGGAATGTTCCTCTGATCCACCTGGCACAATATGCATTCCCCACAAGCCAAAAAATAATGAACTAGACATGTTCATATAGACACAACCTTCTACGAAATCATTTGTCATGTTTTCATGTTTATGAAACCCAAAAGGAATACAGGTGCAACAAATGGTATCTACACAGAAACTGTATGGCAAGGAACAGCATTGATCTCCACTATGCCAAGACCATGTCTGACTGTGGGCAAGAGGGTTGATAGTTATAAAGCAAGCATGCTGCTCAGTGCAGATTCTACAGGTAAGATGTGTCCCATGTTGAAGCTATGCTAATCTGCAAGTTCACAAACTTTATAAGGGCCACTTCACAGATTGCTCATTGAGACTGCAGTCCTATGTGTAATCAACTGAATGCAAGCCACGCTGAACTCAGCAGGACTTACTTTTTAGTATCCGTATACAGGATGGGGCTGCACAAATGCATGTTGTGTGTACATGTGATGTACACCTTCACATTAGAAGCAGCTGCATAGCAGGGATTGGTTACTGGGCATGGCTCCCTGTGCATTTTTGATATACACATGAATGGCCCTAAAATACCAGTGGTGGTATTTGAGGGGTGGGGATAGGAGTTGGGAAAGGAAATATCACTGAGTTTTCTTATGATACAGCTACCCTTCCAACCTTCAGAGCCCCTTTGAAAAAGTCAACAAAATTGCATTATGGTTACAAGTTTCTGAGGGGGGGGGAATCTGTCAAGAACCAAAAACTACTCGAGATTGCCAGAAACATCTATGAATGAGAAAATGTATTTAGAATATTCAGTCCAGACAACTCTCAGTAAACTAAACAAACTGGATACATAATGGGGACGTGCCTCTGAAACCCTGAGGGGGGGTGGGGGGTGTATGACAGGTCCTTGAAATTAAACACAGGATAAGTGCCTGAAGGAGGAGAGCCACTGGAGAAATTATTAGGGTGGGTTCGTCATCTCTACTACATTGAAGTGTTTCAGTTGTTCCATTTCTGGAAGGCATTAAAATCAAAGACTCAAGCATTAACTGGTCCATCTCAATTGCCTTCTGCATTGTTTCAGAACAAAGAAACCACAAGACCATAGCCCTCTGCACTGAGCTCCAGTGTTTTGGAGAGGGGAGGACAGCTTCTGGTTAGCAACAGTCAAGGATGGGGTTGCTTCAGCTAGCTGGTGCACGGGGACAGTGTGGTCATTCATTGACATCCCAAATCTCTGAAAGAAGGGGTGGCAGCTTCTTGTCCTGCAGCCGAAGAGCAAACACCTGTTCAGAATGGACGCTACTTAGAGTCCGAAGACTGACCAGTTTCATTAACATCCGTGGGAACATTAGATGATCCTGCAAGGTCATATGCAAAAGGACAATGGTATCAGTCAGAGCCAAAATCTGCTTCAGTCTCAGCTTCTCATCAGCAAAGCAGGACTACTAATGACTTGCTCCCATGGTAATAATATTTCAAGGCGTTTTAGATATCAGCGTAATTAATAATGTTAAATCTAAGCCTATGCCCATCAGTTCAATTGTAAAATGACTCGGCAACCTCATAGATTGCAATGCACTGTGCCAAAGAACCCCAAGCTCCTTGCTCAGAACAAATTATGCAAATCATGGACATTTGCATGAACTGCTTTGCACTCTTTACATAATGAATTTAAATCTTAGTATTTGGGTTTGGGGTTTTTTTTGGGGGGAGGGGGAAATGATACCATCAAGAACTGGGGAGTTAAATGACAAAGCAAAAATCAAAGGACTACAGGGCAGAAAGCTGAGAATATAAAACTAGGAGCAATTATATTGTGTACTAGGAGGCTTGGACAAGAAACAGTATTATGTTCTGTGCGCTAAAAATCCTGTTCAAGACTTGTGTTAGCTTCCAGACCTTCAAGCAGCACATTTCAATCAATTCTCTCTCCCCATCCCCCAGCAACTACAGTTCAGAATCAGAACTGTATTATCTCCCAAAACAAGAATGTCTAACTTGTGAGCCTTCCAGATGTTGAATATCCATGAGCCCATGACAGCATGGTCAATAGCCAGGAATAAAGGGAATTGTAGTCCAGCAATATCTGGAAGGCCACTCCACCCCTGGTCTAAAAGACAGTTAGACAGCTCCAAATAGGGAAGGCTCCCCAAGATCTTGAGGAGCTGTTGAAAGTGCTAGCAAACGTAACTGACTATAGGTAGTTCCATATAAACAGGAGGCAGATAGAGGTTGTACAAGGCTGCATAATGTATATAGGATTGCCCATTTCTAAGGGAGTCTAAGCTGTCACAGAATGTGCGGTAGCTGCATCTCCGAATCTACAGTTCCTTTAGGCCACCTTCATTTTCTGCACATGTAAGGATTAACTTGTTATAGAAAGCAGAAGCATATGGTGGCTGAAAAGGCAGAGGGCCTTCTCGGCAGTGGAGCCTGCCCTGTGGAGCGCCCTCCCATCAGATGTCAAGGAAATAAATAACTATCTGACTTTTAGAAGACATCTGAAGGCAGCCCTGTTTAGGGAAGTTTTCAATGTTTGTTGTTTTATTGTGTTTTTAGTGTTCTGTTGAGAGTGGCCCAGAGTGGCTGGGGAAACCCAACCAGATGGGCGGGATATAAATATTATTGATGATGATGATTACTGTGACAATGGAGCTGAAAGCATCTCCACTAAATATTTGCTTTCTCTCCTCAAGCTCTTAAAGAAAGGAGCACTCTTTGAGTAAGCCCCTATTAGATCTGTAATGTTTGCCCCTTCTCTGTTTTTTTAAAAAATAAATATTAGATAGCAGGAAAGGAACCAAAGTTCAATAGCAGCACTACATACAGAAAGTCACAGGTGCAACACTTGGCATCTCCAGATAAAAGGATTTCAGCTAAAAGGGCTGGGAAAGATGTTTGCCTGTGAGCTTGCAGAGCAGCTGCCAGTCTGAGTAGGCAGTATTATTATTATTATTATTATTATTATTATTACTGAATTAGACAAGCCAATGGTCTGATTCAGGATAAGATAGATTCCTATGCAAACAGAATCATTTGGACATGCAGTCCAAAAGACCAATCAATACAACTTAAAAAACTCTGATAACTTTAATCTCAGTAGTATTCTGCACACATATTTTTGGCAATACAAAATGATTCAGAGCTCAGCCAGACACTTACGTTTGGTCTGTGGATGCAAATGTAAGAATGAAGGGCTTCTACATAGGTATGCTGCAACCTTTCCACCAGGGTCTGGTCTTGAACATTTGGCCGGTCTGCCAATAAGCAAGACAAAAGTTTCATAGGCAGCTGAATGCAGACTAGTCAGACTGAGGCTAAAATCCAAATACTCAAATCCACCAAGCCCCTTCCCAAAGTCTGGCTCCACAACTGTCCATGCACCCTACAGCTTAGACATGAACAGATTCCTGTCACGTGAACCAATCATTCTCTCACACCTGCTGGGTTTTATTCATGTTCATTAAGAACAAGTATTTAACTCCCACCAGTGTCAATGGAAGAAGCAAACGTTGTGAGCTAGGCTGCCTCTACCTTATATGGTTATTGTTGTTGTAGCGGCAAGTTTTATTTCATCGTAACAAAACTAAAATATCAATAGAAAATAAAACCCAAGAGCTGAAAAGATTGAGATAATATATATGAAGGACTTTGAACATTCTGAAGTTCAGTGAAACATGGAGAGGGCGGCTCTGACCCTCCAGATGTTTTTGGATCATAACTCTCATCGGTTTTGACTATTGGCCATGGGGCTATGGGGTTGAAGGGAAATGTAGTTTGGCACCATCTGCAGGGCCAAAGGTTGCCTAACCCTGCTTTAAATTATATTTATCAATGAGGAGAACTGCTGAGCTTTGGCTAGATTTTTTTAAATTATTATTATTACTTTCAGCAATACTTTTCTCTGTATCAAAGCATCCAGAAAACAACATTAATAATAATAATTTTTTTAAAAAAAGCATCCAGAAAACAAAACAGGAGAAATATTTTCACTGTGACATCCTCACCCAACTCATATATTTCCATACACTTTCACACAACTGGGGCTTAGGTGTTTATGTCTTGGGGGGGGCACAGAATCAATGGGCCAAATTCTGTAACTCCAAAAAGTGAACCAAAGCTAAGCCACTTCATATATCCCTGTCAAGACGACTTACTTCCCTGCCCCCACCACAATATAGGACAAGAGTCACCAGCATAGTTCCCTCCAAATGCTGTTGGACTACAACTCCCATCAGCCCCAGCCAGTGATCAGCAGCTATGGGAGTTCTAATTCAACAACATCTGGAGGCTACTGCACTGGATACTGAAGAAATAGGAATACTCCCAAGCCATAAAGTGATTACTATGTCTTCCACGTTCCCTATTTTTCATCGGAGGCTTTATGAGCATCTTTTACTTCTCAACCCTCTTTTAGGAACAGATTTATAGTCCCCATGAGAACAATTCTATTAAGTGGGTTGTTTTTCTATCATATTGTCACAGTGGACTCTTTCGTGAGTTACTTCTGCTCTCGGAGACTCAGGAGGTTGACAAGTTATATATGTCAAGACTTCCATCTGGTTCTCGGCATGTTTCAAAGACCCATGATCCAGAACATTAATTCACAGCACAAATTATCCTTCAGCATCATCATTAGAATCTTACTCTATGCTATATCTATGTGTGTTTCTTTGTAAGAAAATGGTATTAAGCTCCCACATACAAACTCTTATTTTTTTTGATTTAGCAACATGAGCTCCCATGGTTTTTACCTGCAGAAAAAATGCTGATAGCAATTAAAAGTGCATATTCAGCATCATTGAGTTGCAGTTCATTCATTCCCTTTGAAAATCCAAAGATGGGGTTGATGAACTCAAACTGAAGGCCTGGGGGGGGGGGGGGAAGACAGCAAGTAGGAAGTTAAAAGTCGACATTGCTTTAATGTAATGCAAAATATTTTTTTTAAAAATTGAAGGCATTTGAATCTTAATGGTGCTCTATTCTTTCCCATGTTTTTGTTCAGTAGTTGCTACCTTATATTCATGGCACTGTGACACTAGTTCCAGTTAGAATAACTGTAAAAGCTAGCTTGTCCTGCTTAATTTTAATGAGTTTTAGTAGAGTCATAGAATCGTAGGGTTGGAAAGGACCCAAGAGTCATGTAGTCTAACCCCCAAGTGGTTCTCCATCCCATTTGAAGCTATACCAGACCCTGCTTCGCTTTGCAAATGTGCTAACGGTTTTATTGCTAGGAGTCCTAACTTTTGTATTTTAATGTTTGTATGTTTTAAAATACAGTTGTAATTTTTATTGATTTTCTTGTTTTATCTTCTTGTAAATTGTTTTGAGGTTTTTAACAATCAAGTGGTACGTAAATGTAATCAATTAATTAATTAATTAAAATAGCGAAACGGAGCCCTTTAAACCTAAAAAAATACATATTTTCAAGTACAAGAGAAATCAAACCCCACTGGAATCACTTGGGAATTCCAAAAGCAGGACAGAATGAACCATAGTGGAAATTTCCATATTAAAAGGTGCAGCTGAGAGTATAAATGCCAAGTTCAATCACTTAGAGCCTAACTTCTTTTGGAGCAGAGTCTGGACTTTGTTTTTTTCAGCATTAAAAAAAAGCTGCCCACAGTGAAGAAGAAAAAAGATCTCCTTGATACTCTAAACTGTGTTTAGCTCACCAGCTTTGGCAAAGTCATCCCGATTATAACTCAAGTCCTTCAGAAAAGTGATGCATTCTGTTTCTGGATTGTAGCGCCGAGATGTCTCCAACAGCATCACCTTAAATGTAGAAAACAGAAGTCATTAAACGTCTGGCAATAAACTAGCAGGACACATCCCTGCACCAATAGCCCTCAGTAAGATAGTACACAGTGGCATGGATCCAATTAAGTGCTCACAGAAGGGAACTTTCAGACCTGCTCCTTTTCTTACTATGTCAAGATTTGTGGCCTACAAGGGAAAAGGCAGGCAAAAGTAGGGTCCAGTTAAGTAGATCAAATTTCAACAAGGCAGATCAGGTTACAGTAAATTGGGTCCGGTTAAATAGGTCAGGTCAAAGTCAGTAAGCTCAAGACAAATCAATTTACTACTAATTTGGTCATGGTAGGTTCCAGTAAACAGCAACCAGGACCATGGACAGCTCCAAATGAGCTGATGTAGAAGAGTATTGTCTCAGCAAAGAACCAGGTGTCACATGGAAGACTTTAAAATACTTCTGAGCATTTTAAAAATCTTTATTATCTAAATTACAATTTGGTGAGCAATTCCTACATTTGATTAATCAAATTTACTCACTGTTTAATGCCATTGTTACAGGAAATGGGTATGACACCAAACCCATCCACCTCAATAGGAACACCCACCAAAGTTATCCCGTGTAGCTGCCACTTCTTGCAGTGGCAATCGAGGTGCCTGCCATTTAATTGGGGGCAGATGCCAGTAGCGTAGCTAGGCATGGGTGCGGTGGGGGCCATAGGGCACAACGAGGGTTTGTTGGGCGGTACGGGAGTCTGTAGGGCGGCACGTTGGCTGGGCACATTCTGCCCTGTCCTGACAAGCTTTCACCAGCCAGGTGTCACCGTTGTTTATGACTGCAGTGACAGCTGCCATTCCTTCTGATGAGAGTGGCAGGGTGTAGGTCTTACCTCTATTGTAGATGTTTCAGAAGAGCAATCTGATCTTCCCTGGTGAGCTCCAGGAAACCCGGCAACTGCTTTGCAAAGTCCACAATCTCCTGTACAGAAATGATTGCCAGTTCTGTAAAATGAGCAAAACGCTGCTGTCGTGCTTCGCGGTGAAGAGGATCTGAAATCTGAGGCCACGGCTGAAGTTTTCGTGGGAAAGCCATGGGGAGAAAAGGAAGAAAGAGACTGATAAAGGTTGGAAGGGAAAAGCAAAAAGTCTCCTGAAATGAATGAGAAATATCCCACTTCTTCTACATCACCTCATATCTCTTATATAGACCCAATCCAAACAGCCCCACTATTCTTTCCTGTTCAGCAGTCTATGGCTAGTTATTCCAGAACCCCAAAAGCCACATGATCCATGGTCAGCACCTTAAGTCCACAATTCCATTGGGCATCAGCATTCTGAACCCATCGGCTCTAAGGTGAAAACAAGCTCCTCCCAGGGTCTACAAGCTTGGGCCTTAATGCCTGGGATATGCAGGACTCTTTGGGATCCACGAGAATCACAGAGTTGGAAAGGATCCAAGGGTCATCTAGTTCCAACCCTGTGCAATTCAGGAATCAATGAGAAGTACAGTCATACCTCGGAAGTTGAACAGAATCCTGTTCTGGAAGTCTGTTCGACTTCTGAAACGATCGACTTCCAAAGCGCGGCTTCTGATTGGCTGCAGGAAGCTCCTGCAGCCAATTGGAAGCTATGGAAGCCCCGTCAGACATTTGGCTTCCAAAAGAACATTTGAAAACAGGAATACTCACTTTTGGTTTTCGATCATTCGGGAGCCAGAACATTCGACTCCCAAGCAGTTTGGGAGCCAAGGTACGACTGTATCAGAAAATGATACCATCCCTGTTGGGTATGGGATATCCCCCCCACCCCACCCCTACATAAAATTTGATGAACGTGCCAACTTAAGTTATTCAAAGGGGAGCTTTACTGAAGGTAGGCGAGGTCTGTTTTCTCCCTCCAGTTCAGAGCCCCACCTAAACTGTGCTTTTACCGTCACTTTGAGCCTGTCTGTGAAGGAGCGCCGATTACACTGCTGTTGAGCTGCCACAAGCTTTTCTATCATGTCAAGCTGCTCCGGTGTCATTTTAGGAGGGGTATTTGGGGGGGATAATGAGCTCTGGCGCACAACTACCATCCGAGACTGATCGTCCTCCTGCTTCTTCAACTTCTTCAGCTGGATTTGTTCTTCAGAGAGAACACCTAAAAGTGCAGCACAGAAAAGGAGAAGTGAGGGGACAGCTGGTTACACGAAGTACACAATCACTAAATTAGTGAAAGCTTTGCTACAGGATGGAAGCAAAGTGTCTCAACATTTATTATTTCCTAGGTGGCAACTCCACATTTGGGGTTGGCATCCACCTCATCAGCTTGCCCTATACTGACAAACTCGCCTTTTATTTATATGGCTCCTATACAAGCAGCCTATTCACATTTCATGCACCAACAAAAGATTACGCAGGGCAAAATCAGGTCTCCTGAGACTTTCTGCTCTCTCCTCCCCCCCTTTAAATACAACTTTCTAGATCTCATGGCTGTGAAAGATTCCCACCGCCCATTGTGTATGTACAGCTGCCTAAAGGCATTTAAAGGCTACACTTAATGTGTCCATATATCTATCCCTCTTCATATTTCCTTGGCAATTAACCTGCTCATCCCCTCACCCTGCTTGAGATTGCCCATCTTTTACTTGCCCAATGGACCTAAACTTAGTCCCGTTTGTTTTAATTGGTCTCTGAATAAAACTTGGTTGAATACCACCCTCTGAACTCAGTGAAAATTGGAATATTACATTTTCAACTTAAGCAAATATTATTATACAATTTCACACTTTTTCTGAGCATACACCAGATTCTATTAACATATAGTCACTGATTTTTTTTTATGCGTAAGATGGACTATTGCAATAAGGAGCACCTTATTGCTCCTACACATTCTCTGGCCTCACATCCCTGCTCTTGTCACCTACATTGCTCTCGCATGCCTGCCTCGTGGCATTTGCGTAACCGGCACTCCTGACACTTTCGCCGCATGTACATGTCCATCTCACACCTGCCGCCATTCTTGCAAACATACTGGGCACCCTTGATGACGCTGCGTCGGAAAAAGCCCTTGCAGCCCTCGCAGCTGAGGACATTGTAGTGGAAGCCTGAGGCCTTGTCACCACACACTCTGCACACCTCGTTGCCAAGCATCTTGGGGGCTGGCCCCTTCTTCCGTTTCAGAGGGGGTGTTTCTGTAAGCACAGGTAAGGATGAAAGGGGTGGGGAAAGAGAGGCTGTAAGATTTCATCCAGAAAACAAAGGAAGACCATGCCTCACAAGGCAAATTATAGCAGTCCTTCCTCGCATAAGGCTGAGCACAGAGACATCTCAAACTCCACATCTCAGTCCAATAAAAGCACATAAGGGCCTAGGCCGAAAGCGGGTGCAGAATTCTTCCTCCTCTAGTTTAGGAAAGTCTTTCTCACACAGTTCTAGAGCCATGGGGTTACACTAATATTTCTCAGAGTCAATTCAAACAATAAAACATAACAATTAAAAAATATGTGTAATACCTCCACAAACGTCCGCCTCGTCTAGCGTCCATTCCGGCGAACGTCTGCGGCAAACCTGGAAGTACCAGGACGGGTTACTTCCGGGTTTGCCGCTCACGCATGCACAGATCCCATTTGCAAAACAAGGTACGACTGTATAAGCATGCAAACAAAGCCTGTGACAAGTGTCCTGAACTTCCTCTTTCAGGAATAAGGACTTGCCAGAACCTGACAGCTAATGCCATACGGTCTTAAGGTTCTGAGGTCCCTGAGCTAAGTATGGAGTGTGAGGAAGGGCAAAATAGGTAGGAATTTTACACTAACTACACTTTACACTAAAAGGATTGCTCTCCTAACATGGTTCAGAGTTTTTTCTGTGAGCCAGTCACCAGAGGGCAGCATTGTTCCTTCCTCCTTAGCTGAAGTCAGCTATAGCTTTTATGGATGGCTGAGCAATACATTGGGTGGGATTCACCTAAGGAATCCTGTCAGCAGAAGCCTTGAGCAAGGACTTCCGCTTGCAAAAAATATCCCCCCCCATTCCTGCCCTGTCTGCCCCTAAATTGGCTGGGAATGGGGTAGGGAGAGCCCCCAGAAGAGTGTGTGAGGGAAGGAAGAAGAGGAGTTTGGATTTGATATCCCACTTTATCACTACCCTAAGGAGTCTCAAAGCGGCTAACATTCTCCTTTCCCTTCCTCCCCCACAACAAACACTCTGTGAGGTGAGTGGGGCTGAGAGACTTCAGACAAGTGTGACTAGCCCAAGGTGCAGTGCAGGTGGAGGAGCAGAGACGCGAACCCGGTTCACCAGATTACAAGTCCACCGCTCTTAACCACTACACCACACTGGCTCCAGACAAGGAGACAAGGGCTTGTTCCATCTAGGAATCTGAAATGTTTGTGCAGAAGAAATGCTCGTAATACTGCAGTATTGAATTCCATCCATTGCTTCCTATGCTGCACACATTTTTTTGTCGTTGTTCCTCTGGGCAAACAGTTAATGCAGGCTTTTGAAACAACAAAAAAGAAGTAAATGGGGAACGAGCATATCTCCAGCTTCTCTCTCTTTCTGCCTCCCACAGTTCCCCCATCACTTTCTCAAACCTAGACGCAAAGAGTGTATTTACTCAAGAATAGGCCCTATTCACAGCTAAACTTTTCTCTCCATCATTTACTTCCTGCAGGGAGTTGTGCACTTAAACAAAAATTGCGAGGAAGCATTTAAAGAAATGACACACACACACACACACACACTTTCAATCTGAGGTGGTACAGTGCAGATTAATTCCACTACTTCTGTCTGTCACCCTGTTTGGTGTAATATATAAATTTCAAAGCCTAAACTCTGCTCAAAGCATTTGCACTGAGTGGCTGAAACAAGGGTCTGCGTCTCACCTATGTGCTCAGGTGGGATCTCTGAGCCATGGAAAAGTGCAAACCCTTTCTCCTCCATGCCAAAAGCACATGCCTTCTTCCCATGATTCTGTGCCACGAGCTGTGTAGGACCCATGATGGTTGCTCTTGTGGGGCTCCTCATGTCCTTCTTGTCTCTAAAGCATGATTAAGGCGAAGCTTAAGACATTTGAATCCAGTGTTACAATATCCTCACAAAATGGAGAAGGCCCTGGAGGAAAGTGGAAACAGAAGAAAAGAAAAACACAATTACTAAGAGATACCAGCCAGACATTTTTACACTGTTCCTGTGCAATAGTACCAGCCAAGACTGCCACCCACTCTAATAGCTGTTCCTTAACAATTGCCATCTCCCCGCTTTCAAATAGGAGGCATCTGATTTAAAAGGTGATTTGCCTCCTTTGACATCTGATTTCTCAAACTACTTTTTTGTTCTGTTCAGTTTGATTATTTTACATATTATTGAGTGGCATAATTTATATTCCACTTTCCCTTAGAAATATGGCGCTCAAGGCAGCTAACAATAAATTCTCTTTTTAAAAAAAACAACAATACTAGAACGATAATAAACTGGTCAGAATGAAAAAAGACACTAAAACAGGTGATTAAAACAGTGTAAATCAATGCTGCTAACAAAAAGACCATCCAAGGAGGGCAAATTTAACCAGATGGTATAAAGTGAAAAAGCAAAGGGGTCAGGCAAGCTTCCAGTGTATGACAGTTTCATTTTCATGGAGGCTTCTGAAACAGCAAGTAAGGTGAATAACTGAAGAACAGAGTTTGTTAGACAAAGATTGCAAGATATCTTATCTCCCTGAAAAGTAATTAAAATAAGCCTTGATGGGCACAGAATGTTAAATAAAATCATTGTTTCGAGTCCGGTTCTGTCCAGTGAAGCAAACTGGCCTTCTGGTCATTAACTGAGTCTCAAGAGGCACTGACCCCTGTGTGCTTGCTGCAGAGCTCCAATGTGAAAAGTTTTTTGTGGATCATTTAACCAAAATGTCCCTATTTTAAAGAAAAGCCTCCCAGATTGTAAAAAAAATATTATTATTATTATTATTACAGTCAAACCTTGAAACTCAAGCGGCTCCGTTGCCGAATGTTTCAGTTCCCGAACTCTGAAAACCTGGAAGTGGGTGTTCCAGTTTTCGAACGTTCCTCGGAACTCGAACGTCCGACACGGCTTCCACTTGAGTGAAAGCTCTTGCAACCAATTGGAAGCCGTGCCTCGGAACTCAAATATTTTGGAACTTGAATGGTCTTCCGGACAGGGACGCGGACTTATAAAAAATATTGGGGGGGCCCGGGAAAGCTCATGAATAATAAATAAGCTCGTGAATATGCAAATAAAGTGGCGCCGCCTCCTCGTGAGCGAATAGGGGAGAGCGTGCTGCGCCTATTAATCAGCTCCAAAGGAAATTGGGTGGAGCTTTTGCTCGGGAGGGAGGGCAGGAGGCATGCAGCCCGCCCCTCCCTGTGCATTTTGGGCTGGGGGAGGGGCGGCGATGGCGCTCTGCTGGAGGGGCGCCGGAGATTATTGGGGGGCGGAGCCCCCCCAAACGAATTTTTGAGGGGGCTCGGGCCCCCTCAAGCCCCATGGAGTCGGCGCCTATGCTTCCGGAACGGATTACTTTCAAGTTCCGAGGTTTGACTGTATTATATTCAGTGCTATTTTTCTAGAAAAAGAGATGCTGGGACCCACCATGAATTTCCCCCTCCTTCTCTTAGAATTCCAGCTGAAAAAAAGCCCTCATTATATTTATTTGTATTCCTACACAAATTAAAACACAGGGGGGGAAATCTAAAAAGCTAAAAACATATAAAAGATAATGGTTTAACAGTCATTAAACTCTAATAGAATTAAAACAATGTTAATAAAACAAATCTATTAAAATACAGATAATAAAACCAGGATGGCACTATTAAAGCCCTTCCCTTTTAAAACAGTCAGTTCCCAAAGTCCTGTTGGAATAAAATATAGATACTAGATATATTAAAATAGGGAAAGATTTTAATTTCTGCACCTAAAAATCTGAACCACATAATTTGGTCTTCTGCTGGCATCAGCACAGAAATTAAGCAACTTTGGGGCAAACTAATATGTTCCAGTAAACACGGAGGAGGGCCAGACAACTGGAGCCAAAGAGAAGGGCAAAGACGCTTGCCTAGGGAGATTTCAAAACTGACATGTCATCAATCAACCAAGAAGGCCAAGTCAAACAGTCAAAGAGAAATTCACTGCTAAATTGTCATTTTAACCCACAAGGGCAGTTTTTGGCACCATGAGGGCTTCAAGTCCTTGACTGACTTGGGAAAGATGTAAAAAGTCTCTGAGGCTGTAGATAGCCCACTGCATTTTCACAGCCCCGAACACAGGTTGAAAGAGGGATTCTTGCCCAAATGATGTGGTTAGCCTGGCTTATGGCAGCAGACCTGACATTTCTGACCTCCATTTTAAAAGTGTCCAAATTCCATTTTGAGTGCTAATAAATCTCATTTGGTTTATTTCCCTGTGTGTAAGCCAGTCCAGGGGACGTGGGTGGCGCTGTGGGTAAAACCTCAGCGCCTAGGCTTGCCGATCGCATGGTCGGCGGTTCGAATCCCCGTGGCGGGGTGAGCTCCCGTCTTCGGTCCCAGCTCCTGCCCACCTAGCAGTTCAAAAGCACCCCTAAGTGCAAGTAGATAAATAGGTACCGCTTTATAGCGGGAAGGTAAACGGCGTTTCCGTGTGCTGCGCTGGTGCCAGTTCACCAGAGCAGCTTCGTCACGCTGGCCACGTGACCCGGAAGTGTCTCCGGACAGTGCTGGCCCCCGGCCTCTTAAGTGAGATGGGCGCACAACCCTAGAGTCGGACACGACTGGCCCGTACGGGCAGGGGTACCTTTACTTTAAGCCAGTCCAGTCTGATTCACTTTCCTGCCTAGTTCATAGCTGCTCAATCAACCTCAAATGCCTGTCAATACTGTACTTTGGAGAGCAATGGCCAAATGACTTCCTCTGTGAGAGGTAAATTAAAATTCTTCCCTTTGGGGTCCCTTCTGCTGATCTAAACACCTGAGAGGATCTGCACAATTCTTTATGTCTGAAGAGGTGACTAAGAAGCAGCTGGAGCCTTCTTAAAGGATACACTGGGTCTGCGATTGGACTAACCTAGAATGCCTTTTTGCTGCCGCAGAGAAAACTGTGTACAATTCCAAGGAACAGTGCTTTTTATATATATATATATGATATTTATTAGGTTTTTTCAAAGAATACACATAAATTTATGAACTAAAAAAAAATTACAAAGAAAAAATTACAGTGTTGAAAAAAGTAGAAATCACAGAAAAACTAAGAAAAAATACAGATAAAAAATACATACACAAACCCAGAAAAACAAAAAAAAGAAAAATTTTAAAACCAATCCAGTTTTCAGAACTTGTAGGTTCATTTACTTATTTTCTTGACTTTCTCACACCTCCCCTTTTTGTATTCCCATTTATATAATTGGTTCAGCAAATCCTAGCCTTCTTTCATTTATCCTTACTTTTTATCATAACCTATTATAACAATATATTTTCACCCATTATCAATCCATATTTACATATTCTTATTACTCTTATTTGCCAACGCCACTTATTTCCAATCCAACATCATTTTAACATTCATTAATTTTACAGTATTTCTGCAGATAGTCTTTGAATTTCTTCCAATCTTCTTCCACCAACTCTTCTCCCAGGTCTCGGATTCTGCCGGTCATTTCTGCCAATTCCATGTAGTCTATCACCTTGGTCTGCCATTCTTCCAGTGTGGGTAATTCTTGTGTCTTCCAAGGAACAGTGCTTTTTTAAAGGAGGTACTCAAGTGTATGCAGTACCGGCACCTCTTTCTTTCGTTGTTAAAAAGTGTGACACTTACTGTAACAACTTCATGGTGAGTACTGGAACCTAGATAAAAAGCACTGGGTACAGCACTGAAATATTTTGCAAAATGCTGCATTCTCATTTTACCTTTGTGGATCCACAAGCAGTTGCAGTTTGTTCGTGCGTATCTAGGGTTGCCAGCCCCAAATTTCCAAAATTTGGAGTGCTCTGCAGCTGTCGTATCTGAAACAAGAGGTATTTGTTATTTCAATTGGAAGGCACTGTTGTAAAATAAGGAAAAAAATCAAGTTTTATTTAGCACCCCACTTCCCCTGCACTTGTAGCATGACACTTCTTCAGCGCAGAGATGTGCGGCATGGTGCTGGCAGATCTAATGTGCAGCCTGAGAGTGAGGCCGTGATGGGCAATTGACAAATGCAAAACCTGCACAATGTTCTTGCTGGTTCAGAAACAGAGTACACAGAAAATCCAGCTCACAGAGATGAGAAGGCAATGCAAAAATAATAATAAATTGCTATATTGCTGGAGCAGCTTTGCTTAGCCTGGTGGCCTTCAGATGTTTTGGACTATAACTCCCATCAGTCCTAGTCAGCACAGTCATGGAGGTTGGGGCTGATGGGAATTGTAGTCCAAAATGCCTGGAGGGTACCAGCTTGTGTAAGGTTGTCCTTGAGTTATAGGATCCATATTACAGACCCTTTTCATATTTTTATCTGTAAAACAATGACCAGAGTTAGACTAGTCTAACATACACTGAAAATGAAAATATACAATTAATTTTAAAATTTAAAGCATTCAGAACAGAGACCAATGCCTAACTAAAATGTTTTACTGTTTACTTTGCCTGAAATCTGCAATTCTCAGAGTCAAATCAAATGAACAGTAAGGATTTGTTTTGCTTTTTTAGGCTGGCCACTAATGGGTTTAAAATCAGCACATCTGGATATAGAACAGCCCTTAAGTATGATTCTTTTATTCTAAATTATCAATAACTTTGTCAACAACAACAGCATACACCCTATTGTAGGGGTCAAAAAGCTTGCAGAAGATTCAAACCATTTTCATCTCATCAATATCTGTATGCCTAACAAGGACAAATCAGGATCTCTCAAGTCTCTCACTTGGGCGCAGATCTCAGATGGCAGCAGAGTTGGCTCATCCTACAGGAGAATTGCCAGGTCCTACCAAGAGAGGCAACCTGTCACACTGAGAACAATAGAATAAGAACACTAATGCTCCCCACCCTGCTGTTGAGAATATTAAAAAAATATTATTGGAATCCAGTTAAAAGATGTAAAGCTCAATGTACATTTGCAGCAATCAGATTTAATTTAATTACATTTACTGCAGTTCAGTAATGTTGCATTAAGAGTACCTGTAAACTGGAAAGTTGGTGACCACTGCCTTGCCAAGTTGTTGACAGTGCCAGCCCCAGAGGCAAAATGTACAGAATGTTATGAAGCTTTCCTCTCCAAAGTGCAACTAGAATGAACAGCAAAGCCCCATGGGGAAGTAAATGTAGGTGAAAGGCTGAGGGAAGCATATATCCCTTAGTCTGTGGTCACATTTGTGTCTCAGATCAGGCGCCAAGTACTTCCAAGTTATGTTGGCACCAGCCCCAACCCCGCCTAGAAACAGCGGAACAACTCAGAGAGCAAAAGTCCTAAGTACAGCAAATTTTGTCGCTTCAGGAACATGGTGCTACCAAACAACCCAAGATGTTTCATCCTGTGGCCACCATCCACACCCCAGCCACAAAATGACTCCCCTTCCCTTCAGAGTAAAGGTTATGTTCGCGAGTAGCTAACCTGTGGCTCCTCAAATGTTGCTGGACTACAGATCCCATCATGCTTGACCACGGTCCCTGCTAGCTGGGGGTGAACAGAGTTGGCTCTATTCCTTCATTATTCCATTTCAGTACGGGCTTGGGATTTGTTCTCATAGCCAATTCTCTCAAAGGCCAAATGACAAGTTAACAAGCAGCTGTATATAATCTCCCCTCTGATGTTTTGTGTTAACTGAAAGAGATCTATAGGAGACTACAGTCTTGAGCAGAGCATCAGCTTTGTTTGTTGTGTTTATTGTTTATGACTACTGTTTGCAGTTATGTAATTTTTTATATGTTGTTAAGCCGCCTTGAGCATGGTTTTAACTTTGGAAAGGTGGCATACAAATAAAATGATTGATGATTGGTTGATAAGCTGTTCATTCCCTTTGGGCTGTTCCCCATGCCATAAATTTGCCTCCCAGCTGCTTTTCATCACACAGGTGGAAAAGAACAGGCCCCCATTTGTTCCCCACCCCCATAAGGAGAAAATCAGCTTATATACCAACTGGAAAAAATAGCACAAAGGAGAAAAGTTAATAGCTCCCATGTCTCTTTTTGCTGTGCAGGACAGTCTCCCACCCGTCCTTCGTTTTTAAAAGCTGCTTTTCAACTTTAGATAAAACTGTCAGGGAGAAAAGTAAAATGCAATGGAGTTTGTGCAATTTGGCCCTGGATTTTGCCTTTCCCCATAGAAAAGCTCCTCACAGGCTAGTCTTGTCTCAGCCAGCATTCCTTTGCCTGCACTTCATTCCTCTGCTCCCGCTGGTCTAAGAATCTCTTGCACTGATGGAAGCAATCCTAACAGGACTGTAAGACAGGCCTGGCCAAAGGCATTTTGAGGCCTAATGCAAAGAACAAGATGGCTTCCCCCTCCTCTCTGTGTACCGAAGCCAACTGAATTTATTGCTTATTTCAACACTGCCAATGAGACAATGGTCCTCCACTGCAACTGAGGGCATGATATGGCCTTCAAACCGGTTTTGGATGATATACAGCTGTACCTTGGGTTAAGTACTTAATTCATTCCGGAGGTCCGTTCTTATCCTGAAACTGTTCTTAACCTGAAGCACCACTTTAGCTAATGGGGCCTCCTACTGCTGCCGCGCTACCGGAGCACGATTTCTGTTCTCATCCTGAAGGAAAGTTCTTAACCCGAGGTAATATTTCTGGGTTAGCGGAGTCTGTAACCTCAAGAGTATGTAACCTGAAGCGTATGTAACCCAAGGTACCACTGTATTGATATATTGGCCAGCCACAGTAATTACTGAAGTGCTACTAGCAGAGGTGAATGCTAATGGAGGGAAATATGAGGTTAAGGATGCATAACAGAAGACATAGTCACAAACATTTTCTGGTACGTAACAGGCTGGTGCCACCATGACATTTTGCTCTGAACAATTTCTCTTATTTTTATGCCACCCAGCAAAATTTTTCACAAGCTTCCTAAAAGACTTCCCCACTTCGTTTTGAGGATCTACCATAGGGAAACTAAATGTTCTCAGGGGCTCTCTCTCAATTTGTTCCTCTTGATCTCTTCCCCCAGTACCCTTTTTTTCTCAAAGCTTTTTTGGAACTGTTCTAATCCACCACCCTCAAACTATTCAGAAGTAGCAATGTACTACTTTTATATATTTGTGACCCAAACTTGGGGTGGTAGAATACTGGGGAGAGAAGTTAACTCTGGAGACACTATGATTCTATGAATCTCCCAAACATCCTATATATAGCATGCAAAGCTGGAACGGAGGCTGACTCTGAATCCCTAGCTTGAAAGAGTTCCCCATCCCAACAGACTCAGGACAAATTTTTTAAGTCTTTAACAAGTATTCTGTAGAAAAAGATTCTGGCCCCATTAAAATCATAGTGCATTCCATGCAGGAACTCTTTTTCACGTGTTGCACTATTAATTGCTTCAATTGTTCATCTCTCAAAACTTAAAGTTTTGCTTCATTTCTAATTCAAAATTCAGCAACATATTATTATTATTATCACGCACACAAACATATGCGCGCGCACGCACACGCACACAGGCATATATATAATTTTTACCAAATTTTCTGTTTTTCAATTTAAAATACTCTTTTAAACATCCTTAAAATATCAATGACTTCCCTTCTTCTCTTTCCATGGTTCATTTTGCATATCTTAAATCCCTGCATATTTTACATAAACCAAACCATTCAGTATTCCATTACATCCATCAAAACTTATTTACACTGTTGAATTTATCTTAGTGCTAAATGCTACCAACGTTTCCAAGGGTACACCCCCCCCATATATTCAATAGATATTTTTCAATCTTCTCTAAACATATGTTCTTCTTGTTCTCTTATTCTGTATGTTAGATCTGGAAGCTGCGCATATTCCGTCAGCTTAAGTTGCCATTCTTCTTTAGTTGAGGCCTTGCTCGTTTTCCATTTTGGGGCCTACAAAATACGGGCCGCGGTAGTGGCATACATCAATAACCTCTTTTTTTTGACACCTGGGAATTTCAGTCTGAATTATCCCCAACAGAAACGATTCTGGGTTTTTTGGGAAAGTACTTTTAAAAGTATTATTACACTTTTTAAAAGGCTGCTCCCACGCCACACGTTAGCCTTATTCACATTTTTAATAAAAAAAAAATTCAAAATATAGTCCTGCCCACCACATGGTCTAAGGGACGGTGGACCAGCCCACGGCTGAAAAAGGTTGCTGACCCCTGATCTAGACTAAGAGATGCAAAGCAAAATGGAAACATTTTAGTAGCTAACCCCTTGATAAAAGTGTTTCTACTTGAAACACACCAAGGTTTTAATAGAAACCAAATAATTTGCTGCAGAGCTGTCACTGGATAATTAAAGAAAGGAAGCTTCAAGGTTACAGATAATTTCAAGGGGGAAGTGGGAGTAAAGTTAGGAAGAACTGTACATGATTAACAACATTTTTGTTCATTTCCTAACAGATACAGTCAAACACTATGCATATTTACTCAGAAGGAAATTCCACTTAATTCAGTTGTGCTTACCCACAATTGAGAGTGCACAGGGTTGCAGCCTTAACAGTAATCTTTCTTTAAAAAGCTAGGAAGTCTTCTCTAGGAATAAATGAAAAACATACTTCCTAACACAGAGATGAGAACTAACAGCCAGATAACTACCAAATTCTATTCATTATATCCTGCTGCAGAAGGTTCTATTTGTGGCTTATTGCACAGCTAATTTTTCACTTCCACATTGCACATGCAACTGAAATATTTGCATGTTGTTGTTTTTAATTGCTAGTTTTAATAAAATGGGATTGTTTAGTTGAGATGTTTTTAAATGTTTCCCATTGAGTTTTATTGTTGTATTTTATGCAAGCAGCCTTGGGGCGATTTTTATTCTTGAAGAGAAGGAAGGAAGGAAGGAAGGAA